GAGATTCCCCATTCTGCTCTACCTGCACCCAGCAAGGAGACAGCATTTTTTGTGTGTGGTCATTTATCATGAGATCATTTCTTAGGTAAAGAAAAAAACCCTACAATCCCTAATAGGTTCGTTATGAGTAATGCAAACACCTGGTCAGCTATTGCTGTTTAGTGACCGAGATTCACAGTGGCACAAGCAGGCAACTGACATTTTGCCTTAGCACGCATCTCTGGCCAGTGATAATTAACCTGAAGGTAAAGAACCAGTCATTTTCTTAATACAACAAGGCACCTCTTTCAAAGTTGGGGCTCTTCCTGTTTTAATAATCAAAAGGAAAAGACCTTTGGTACTTAATATTTAAACAAAATGTTTAATATTTACACAGTAAAGTTCTTCTTCTGATATTAAACCAGCATTAAAGCAGGGATGGAAATTGGTTTATAATCTCTGACACTAGGCCTGAAGCCTTGTAGTGTAGTAAACAATGTCACTCTTCAGATGGGCACCACCTGCAATGGGTTCAGAAATGTCAACTGTAATTAAACATTTTATTTCAAGGATAATTCATAGGTTATGTGCATGAAGGACTGCTTTCCGCCATGAGAAATTTCAAAGTACTGGGCTGTGTAAATAAAAAGAAGGTCTTTTTTTTTATTGTATGTTTTTTAAAAACCACATGCAAACTGCCTGAGCTTTAATTAATATTATTCTTAAACATATGCTTTATATTTTGCAAGATTTTTAAAGTCAATTCATGAAGCTTGACTGGTAAGATACCTCTCTTCCTTACCATTTTTTTCCTCTAGCTATAAGTGAGAGTACTGTAGTAGGGAAAGGATATGGTTTGTCACAAGCTAAACAAGTGGCAAAGTTGGAATTGGCTCTCACCAGCCCTAAATTTTTTCTTTGGGGCTTTAGTTTCAATGAAAACCTGAAGAAAATTTACAATTTTAAAAAGGATGATAAATTATTCAAAGTTGTGGGGGTCACCTAGCATCTCCAATAATGCTTTTGATCCTGATGGGAATTTTGAGTAAAATTATTCAATTAAGAAGCGTGTGTGTTCATGTGTGTGTGTGTGTGTGTGTGTCTTCATGTGTGTGTATATATGTATGTGTGTGTTCCCGTATGTGAGGAAGGAAGAAATAATCTCCAGTCTGTCTATATCAATAAAATTTTACTACTATTTCTTGGTAACAATTTGTTAAAAGCTAGCATAACAACTGAAAGATTTAAAACACATCTTTTTTAGACCTCTACCCTAATATTCTATATCATTTTTTTTTCTCAAAACAGAGCTTAAAGGAAAAGGACTTAAGTAAAAATGGTCTTAAAATAATGATAAAAAATCTGGGTGCAAGTAGTACTTTTTTGTGCATTTCACACAGTCCATCATAAAAGATTTAGGGCAATAAGAAAAAAAGATGCTCTGTCTGTCTCTCACTAACTTTCCCTCCCTGTGCTTTCTGAATTACTTCATAGCCAAATATTGTATGACACATATCACCAAAGAGAAGTCCTTATGTATGTAAACAAGGTTCAGCACGAGGTAAAGTCTTTTGTTAGGAAAGGCAGAGCCCCACCTCTACCAGGTGGGCACCTTGCAGAGAAGCCTGTCACTGGGCAAATGGGGCCATGTACATTGAGGTACCTTTCAGAGATAAAATGTTAGTTGTTGTTGGGAAAAAATTGGTTATTAATAGCAAAATACAACAGACACAAGTCACTATTCCAAAATGAACATTTGTTAAATGAGTTCTGATTATACCTCCTTTAGTTAATAATCTTATCTTTCAAAAATATTAATACTATTAAAGCTAAGTAAAAACATGAAGAAAGAAATAGTACAGGCCGGGCGTGGTGGCTCACGCCTGTAATCCTAGCTCTTGGGAGGCCGAGACGGGCGGATTGCTCAAGGTCAGGAGTTCAAAACCAGCCTGAGCAAGAGCGAGACCCCGTCTCTACTATAAATAGAAAAGAAATTAATTGGCCAACTGATATATATATATAAAATTAGCCGGGCATGGTGGCGCATGCCTGTAGTCCCAGCTACTCGGGAGGCTGAGGCAGAAGGATCACTCAAGCCCAGGAGTTTGAGGTTGCTGTGAGCTAGGCTGACGCCACGGCACTCACTCTAGCCTGGACAACAAAGTGAGACTCTGTCTCAAAATAAAATATAAAAAAAAAAAAAAAAAAAAAAAGAAATAGTACATTAAGAAAAAATGCTATAGATCATATATATATTAGCTAAAATTATATTTTAATTAAAAAGCTGCTATATGGGAAACAATGCTTGAAGGAAATTTGACAACGTGTTAGGATGGCAGAGTTATGGGTAACAATTTCCCCATTTTCCAAATTTCTGTAATGTGATCATATGACTTTAATTATTAAAAGTTCAGGTCCAGTAAGAAGATAACCACTTTGGGGAATTAAAAAGCCCACAGTGCATTTGTTCATCAAAACATATTAGAGACAAGGTGGAGAAGAAATTTGGTGAAGGCTTGGATCAAACACAATTTGAATTTCTTTGTCTCTGTATCTCCCACTCAACACAGAGAGAACAGTCTAAGATGAGCGATGGCAAAATAGGATGCAGTGGGAGAAGGTAAGAGAGCACAGTACTAGAATGGCTGGTGGGTCTGACCCTGGAGTTTCTGTTTCCCTAATTTCAGATCCCACACATTAACTATTTCTTTTATCTTCCTATTAAAATGGTGCTACAAGATAGAAGAAAGGCAAATGCTTTCTCAGTCCAGCCATATCCAGTTCTGGTGAGGAGCACAGTAAAGGCTGTGGTTTGGGTTATGTCTATAGCTATCATGAAACAGGATTATAGCATAGACAATGTACTTTGGCTACATAAACTGCTGCTAAATTAGACCAGACATAGACATCACATTTACAAAGCAATTTTGAACTCAGAAAGGATGTGTCTAAGATCGCAAAGCTAGTAAATGACAGAACTGGTAAGATGGCACAAAAGATCAACTTGATTATTCTATGAACAATTGAGATATAAATGTAGATATAGATACAGATGATATAGACATAGATATCTTTGTCTCGACAAGCACTTAACATTTGGTAAGCATTTCTCATTTAGAAAGGAAGGTATCTCATTTTCCTTTTCAACCTGACATGATTTCCCACTATATCTCCCTTGCGATGGCAATGGACCGGCCTACAGTGACAATGCCAAAAGCCTGCCACATAATAAACTCCATTAGCTAGCCTTGCAGTCTTTAGGGGTGGAGAGGTACAAGCTTCTGGCGAAAGACCCTTCCTATAATGAATCAGGTAAAGGGCTGGTAGCCATGGAAGAGTAATTAGAAAAAGGATTTTTCCCTTAGAGGCTTCTCCTTTACCTGCTAAGATGGGAAACGTTTAGGAGAGAGATTCCTAAACCACTACACCTGATCAAATAATAGGAATTCATTTAGAACAAATACAATATTAAAAGCTATTTTTTTCACCACAAAATGAATTGATTAACTTTTCCTTCTACAAATATATTACTAAAACTTTCTCACTGCATAAACTCTCCAAATAAAATTAATGGTTTTGTTTTGAAAATTAATTTAGATATTAAAAAATTATATTTTCCACCAAGATCTCAGTTACTCAGATTAAATATTAACCAAAAGCTGTCTTCTGCTTAAATAGAATTTAGCCTTTGAAGTGTTTTTATTAATCTCTTCTGATGTAGGTGCTTGAAATTCTATGAGAGTGCCGCTGCCGCCCGTTCGGTGCATCACTTACTGTAATTTATTTTCAGAACATAATTCTATTTATAAATGAAAATCCTATTAAAAGAAGACAAGAAAAATTAGTCCTAGACTTTGCATTGGTAGAGTAGAAACAAAATGAGCGGCCTAACCTGAAGTGACATTTACAAATTACCTGTTAATTTAAACCGGGTTGAGGGATGACAGAGTTTAGTCAGACTGACAGGAAGTACCGAAGGAATGACAGTTGGGTCTGGAGTGGTCATAAAGCTCTTACGGCTGGCACATTTATCTGTGTTCCTCTACTACCCCACCGCCTCCCCAAAAGCTCCCTGCCTAGTAAATAATATATTTTTAAAAATATTTACAATTTTGGCAGACGAGTGAGTAAAGGTTTCTACACAGCCAGAGGCTTTCCTCTTTTTTTTTTTTTTTTTAAAGGGGAGCAGAGCATTTATTAAAAATGGCCTCAGGCGTTAGTCATGTGAGCGCCCTCCCCAGCTACTTCAGCCCAAACTGTTTTCTTCTTGGGTGTCTTTCCCGGCCCAACAAGGCTGCAAACAACTGAATACCCATAAACGGGCACAAAGATACACGCTTCGGCCTCCCTCCACCCCGACGGTTTTAAGAAAGAACTAGTGCTCCTTTCACATTTTCTACTCTATTTTTGAAATGTAACTAACAACCAAAAATATCTTGTAAATAATATTGAAAACAATAATCTTTTAAGAAGGAAATCTAAGAAGGGAAAAGAATTGCTTTAGACTTGTTTTTTTAGTTCAATTTCAAATACTACCAGCCAGAATAAGTATCTGCAGATATTATACATATCTGAATAGATTTTAGTATGTAGCAATTAAAACTCATTTTCACAAAACTTCTATTTCACATTTGATTTACAAGGATCCAAATTTTTCTGTCTATGGGTATGTCCCCAGTAGCATTAATATAAGCTATATAGAGTAGAAATATATATACAGATGCATACACACACACAAACATATATAAAACACAACACACATAATATACCTAGCAGTTTGTCTTTCATGAGCAAGATTCTTATCTTAAAAAACAAGTGTTTATTTTTTAAAGAGACAATCTTTACATGCATAAATTAATGACAATACACATATTTAAATTAAAATAACAGAAATTAAAATAGAGTTAGGTAAAATAAAAAACAATAAAATAAAAATATGACACCATCTTTGCATTCTCAAATTAATGACAATAAAAACATCTTAGCATTTTATCTGCCTGCATCCTGGTTAAGATCCCTACCTTATTGTGCCTTCTTTAAATGTGTTTCTCTATTTGAGAATTCAGCAAATTTCAAGGAATTGTTGCACTCTTTCTTCTTGTTTACTCATTCTGGAATTCTATTGACTGTGCAGGGTTAATTCTGTAACATAAAAGTAATTGCTGTGAATTATTCACACCCTGATTCTCATAGAATCTTCATACAACTATCAGTAGTGATTCTGGACTGGAAAATTACTGGGTTTAGGCTTACTTCTCTGAACAAATGTCTCATTATAAAAGGTAAAGGTGCCTACCAGAGGCAATGAACCATTAGTGTATTGTTTTAGAAGGGGAATATTACCAAAGTAAGAAAGAATTTTCATTTGAATTTTTGATCCAATGTTCTTGATTTTATACTCATTTGTTATCTAGCAATAAGGAATAATTTAACCCCTTACTACTAGGATAATCAGAATAATCACATGAATAATTAGTATTTCTCAACAAGAAATTAGTTTTGAATGGATTAAAATGTCAAACTGGGTGGAAAAGATTGAAATCTGAGGTTCTGATGAAGAGTGTTTTGGAAAAACGAATCCTCTTTCCGTACCGTGTCCCAGCCCACCTAGCTGAGGTTCCGTCCCATCTTAAAGTCCTCTCCATACAAATTCTGTGACTCCTATTATCAAGTTGTTGGAAGTTAATGGCAAAATATAAAATAAAGTTCTGAAAGGGCTAATTAAAAGAAACTTTTCAGTTCTTTCTCCCTCCATCTCAGAAGTGTCATAGGGGACTTTCCCCCAATGCCATGTACTATTTAAAAAAAAAAAAAATCAGAACTATATCTAGTCTTCTTTGTCAGGTAAATAAACGCTTCTTGTACTAAATGCTATTTTTGAGGTTTTTTTCAATCTGGGTTTAGAGATAAATTATAAATTATCTGTGTCTTAGACTCCTCTGTCACATTGCTGTCAAGAAGCATATGCCTGTTTGGACAATCCTGGATATTTCTACAAGATTTATGAAATGTTACTTTGCTCTAAGATTGATATCCACGTCCTTATTCAGTATATCAAGGGCATATGATAATGATAGCGATCAATGTTATTTTAACACTGCACAAAGGCCAGAGTGTCAAGGCCATCACTTCATTAGACAACAAGACTATTGATTATTAACTAGAGAGTGGCTAAAATCGAAATACCTGTACGATCTGCCCATGCCAAAAAATTATCGGTGGGCAAGCAGATTACATAATCTGTCAACCACTATGAAACTCTTTCAAAACTAAACAGAGTATGAGGAGCATTTCAAAGGACATTTCACAATGAGCAATTTCTCCTTTATGTCCCCTGACCCTCTGCGATCCTCCCTCCCAAAGCTGAAATCATTTTAGACTTGCAACACTGCTTAAGTCCTGACCTGGTGATGCAAATGCTCATTAGAAATTGAGGAGAAGGGGATGAGAACACTGTTAAGGCTTGGGTGGGAGCAGGCAGAAGAGGAAAAAGTGAAAGGATACAGGTGTAAAGGGAAATAGCTAATGACTATTTATGCCCTGCCTTTTATAAAATTCCTAATTCTATCTTTTTAAAATTAGTAGATGTTTTCTAAATATCATGGGGCTAAAGAAAACCATTTCCCTTCCCTGTCAAGAGTCCTATTATTGTTTAGCTGACTCCAATAGTTTTTTACATGCAAATTTATCAAATGTCCATTCTCTTTGCCCTGAGCTAAAAGCTATGAAATTTGTATACTCTCTATGCAAGTATTAAGAAGGCCCCTCTATCCTGGAGTTATATATTTGTACTCTAAGGCAATCTCTCCATCATGTCTGCTTTAATTGGACCATGCTTTCTAATCAGCATAATTTCCCCCTTGACCAGCCCTCTGTGCCCATACACTTAGAAAAAAGAAGTGGGTTAAAAGGAGGGCATTGACAAAAACAGCTTGTTCAAAGCAGTGATTTGAACACTTCTTAATGGAGCTCTAAGAACTCATCCTAAGTAAAGCAAATGGCATGAGGCATGTGGAAAACTGATTAGTGAGGACCAAAGCAGACATTTATTGCCTAGAGGTAGAAAGTCCACTAATCTTCCTGTTAAACCTCTGTTTTCATTTCCTTCTCAACTAACCTCACTCTGGACCAAATTCATCACCTGTCTTGAGCCTCCAACTGCTACTGAAATCAAAGAAGTCAAGGAAACAGTGAATGGAATCTCACTCATTTATTTCCTCCATTGGTCCCTGCATTCCCAAAGATCAGTTTGAAGTGGTGAGATGTCAGGGCTTTGGTGCCTTACAGCTTTCACTACATTTTTGTTTTCCAGAAGCAACCTTAGGAACCCAGGATCATGGTTCTGAAACCATCACCAGTGGTCCCCTAGAATGGAGATGGAACTGACTTCAGTAAATTGTTGAGCACAAAGAGAAAAAAAATCTAGAACTATTATAATTGTGACATAAGAATGTGATGGGTGTCTTTATCGTCATGAAACTGAGTCCCTGGCCAAATAATGTTGATGGTGCTAAGCTAACATGGCAGAGCCCTTTTTGATAAGTGAGTGAGAGAGCCTAAAAACACAAATCTTAAAAAAGACCATCAAACCCGGAACAATTTGAGCAACAAAATAAATAATAGTAATAACTGGATTAAAATAATTGAATTAAAATTCAAAGTATAAAATAGATATATATATGAGTCCATCCAGGTATAAATAAAGGAATAAATAAGTAAATAAGAAGAGAAAAATATTCCCCATAGAAGAATTCTGATTAATTTATGTAGATACTCTCCCTTCCAGGAGATGGTGCTTAGTGCCCCCATTTTCCCTGCCCTTGATTGTGAACTGGATTTGGTGACTTGCTTCCAAAGCAGGAGAAGCAGGCGAGGGAAGGGAGCTTTCTATAGTGGAGAGAGCTGTCACACACTACCTGGAGCAGGTGATCAAGATTGACACCACCAGGCATAAGTCATGTTGATAACATGTACCCCTGACAGGATGTAACAAGAAGGGTCTTCACTTCTGTGATATTCTTTCCAAAAATGTATAACTCCAGTTTAATCAGGAGGAAAAGAAAAATCAGAGAAACCCAAATTAAGAAACATTCTACAAAATAACTGACCAGGATTCTTCAAAATCCTCAAGATCCTGAAAACATGGAAAAGACTGAGAAACTGTCATGGACCAGAGGAGATTAAGAAGATGTGATGTTCAAACACAATATGCTCTACTGAATTTGATCCTGGAACAGAAAATGAACATGAGTGGAAAAACTAGTGAAATCTGAATAAAGTCTGGAGTTTTATTAATACTAGTGTGTCAATGTTGGTTTCTTAGCTCTGACAAATATACCTCCAAAATGTAAGGTGTTAAAACAGAGGGGAAGCTGAGTGAGGAGTGTATAAGGATCTCGGCATTCTCTTTGCAACTTTTCTGTAAATCTGAAATTATTCCAAAGTAGAAAATTTATTTAAAAAGTTCAAAAATATTTCCATAATGACAAGCCTAGAATTTTTTCATTGTGTAGAGGAGACAAAAATGTAGAAAACATCATTTTTGTCAAAAAAAGAATGAAATGAGAAAGGATAACTTATTTGTAAAAAACAGCAAACTATATATACACATTTGCACACTACACATATACACACAGCTACACATATATTGATAGATCATAAATGCATAGATAAATAAATACTATTACTGCCATTCTACTATTCATTTATTCAGTATTTTATTCATTCACTCATCTGCCATTTTTGAAATAGTAACTATTACATGTGAGGTACTTTGCTATGGGCTGGATGTCCAACCACTGACAAGATGAATATGAGCCTTACCCCCAGGGAGCTTTCATGTAAGTTCATAAAAGTTTTGTGTCCCCAAACTTTTAAGTCTGCCAGAAATTCTTATTACAATGTATGTATCCCTTAGAGGTATTTAGTTTTTCATTAACAATATTCTTGGGTTCCAAATCCAGACATACAATTTATTGGTTTTGTGGTTCTGAGCAAGATTTTTAACATCTCCCTGTGCCTCAGTTTCCTGGTCTGGGAAATGAGGATCATAATAAATACTACATATCAAAGTGTCATAAGGGTAAAATGAATCCTCACATATGTTAACAAATGTGATGCAAATGTCACCTCTAATGCAAAGGGCAATTACCATGCTATCTACCACGGCCTGTTAAGAAAAGGAACCACGGCAGAACACAAATCAGAAAGGAAGAGGGAGTTCTGACTTCAGAGATGGGAAGATACCAAGAAAAACACTTTCTCTACATCATAATCTTGCCTGGAGTCAGCTTTAGAACTAAATATATAAATGTCTATAAGAAAAGTACAAAACAATCTTGTGAACTAAGTAAAAGTCACACATTATTGTTCCCCAAAATGAATGAGGCACCTGAGGCCCAAAGATATTGAATAACTTGCTCATAACTTCACACTGAGCCAGTAACACATGCAAAACGGAATTTAGTCCCTTTGGCATTGAGAATCTTACCACATAGGTTTTGGTTCTTCAGCACCAAAACTCAGGTGCTGAAGGACTCAAGACCTAAAACTGCCTTTTGGGTTTATGGATGGCTATGATTAGGAGATTTCTGTGTGGTTACTTAGCCAGAAGGGATGCCAAAGCCTCTGTGTTGCTTTCTTCAGTGCCGTTCTATTTAATACCATGAAACTCCTCTCTGGCCCTTTCGATCTCTGTGTCTTCATCTCTAATCCCATACCACTGGCCATCCAAGAGAGGCCTATACTGCAAGCCATGCACCGGTTTTCACTCTCTCTCCTTCCCTATATTGTACAGTGCAATTAAATTATGATGTACACTTGTATTTTAATGTTATATTTATAACTGTACATATGCCCAAAGGCTTTAGCAGGAGTTACATTTTTATATCTTGAAAAAAAAATACATATTCAAAATATCAGTTTTTGAAAAACAAGAAAATTTCTTCAGTAGGTTTCTTCTTTTTTACAAGACAAGAAAAAAGTCAAAATTTTCCCTAGGCTACTTTATGAAGCATTAGATCAATCTGAAAAGTATTTTTGCTTTTTTAAAAAAAAAGCTTCTGGTGCTTCTCCTGGCTGTTTTTCCTCCCATATGGCACATAGGTGACAGTCTATTGCAACTCAATATTGTAAGTCCATGACCAATTGTAGAGGTTTAAGGTCTTGAGACACGAAAAAAATGAATAAGAGTTTCATTCCACAAAGAATTTATTTTCTAGTGAAAATGGGTAACAAAATAAATAGCTAGAAAATAATATAATTTTTATTAGGCTTACAAATAGATTGCTGTGAGGTTCAGTTGGGATTGTTGGAAGAGAGTTGTAAGGAAAAAAGGTGGAGGAGAAAAGATATTCTTGGATCTTTAAGAATACGTATGGTTTTAAAAAGAGAACAAAAAGTAGGCACACGCATAGACAGAATCACATGAGCACAGAGCCAGAAACATCAAAATAGGAGATTTATGGGACTAGGGCTTCAAGAGGGCAAGACCAAAGATGAAGACCAAAGAAGAAAATATAGTTGGGAGCAGACTTTGAAGTCCCTTATAATCCAAATTAAGGAGTTTGAGATTTTTATATTGGCTGTATATATCTATCAGAGAATTTTATAGGGGTTGGGAGATTAGAGAAGAGTACAGAGGTCATGACTAAAACAAGACTATTTAAGAAAAGACTAATAAAATCATCCAACCTAGTTAACTATTATTTTTGGAGGAGAGTTGCCAATTCACTAAACAAATTTAATTCAGTTTTACAAATACGAACTCATAATAGTTTATATTAGTCAGAACTCAGTCAGGAAAACAGAAACCATTCTAGGTATTTCATGCAGAAATGGATTCCACACAAGGAATTAGAGACATAAAATATATTAGAAAGGCTGAGGGATAAAAGAGGAAAGCCACCACTAGCATTTAGAAAATCAGGAGATGCATATATGCAAGAAAACTGTCAACTGATACCTCCGCCATCTTCAGTACCTCAGTGGTGCTAAGTAAGGGATTGTAGGAAAACACCCAGAGGCTTCTGGAAAAATCTTACCTCTGTTATCTGTCATAACCCAAACATCTGCCCAATGCTATTCAGAAGCAGTAATAGTTTCTGATTCCTTTTTGCCCTTCAATTCTTTCACATGTGTCTTTCACTAGTGGAATCTAAAACACAAATCTAAAACAGAAATTTAAAGAAAGTTGGTTCTTATGCTCTGAGCCCCTGCAACACAGGTAGCACAGAGAAGATGAGAAATGGCACTGAGTTGCCAACAGACAGTTTATCACACTATACAAGGACAGTCAAAATATAGAGTAAGTATTATTTGAATGGCTACATTAGTAAAATATACAGTTCTCAAATACACTGGGAAAACAAAACAACAAAATAAAAAGTATAGGACTAGTTCTCAAGAACTTTAGGACTTCACTGTATCCTTTTCTAATTCTCTGAAGTTCTCCCAATGGAAGTGTACCAAAAGTCAGTGAACCAAGCCCTGTCTACTCTCCTGACCCCAGTCTCAACTAATTCAGTCTCAAAAATTACTCATGATGATTCTCAAGAGAATAATCATGGGTTCCCATGGAATTTTCTGTGAGGTCCTCAAACACATAGGAAAGATCCATCAAATACTGTAATTCTGACCAAACACACACTTTCTTAGATCTTTTAGTTGTTTTTCATTGATCTAAGCATGAAGTCCAGGAAACAAGGTTCACCAAGCACTGCAAGTTATGGCCCCTGACTAACGCTCCAGGTCAACTCCCCTCACAGGGCGTGCAATCCACTCTGTCCTTCCTTCAGTTCTTTCTAGCACAGGCCTTTCTTCATCTGCCAGGGATGTCTTTGCCCCCACCTCCTCCCTCACCTTCTCTGGGCAGACCGATGCTTATTTATTTATCAATTGTCAGTTTAGTGACACTTTCTCTGACGGTGGAGGCCTTTCCTGCTCTGTAGTTTAGAGTCCCCATTATTCTTATCCATCATGCTCTATACTTTTTCTACATAGAATTTACCTGGTGTAATCACGTAATTATGTGCATAATTTATTGTTAATTATTTGTTGTATTTCTGTGTCTTCCAGTAAATTCCACAAAGGCTATGACCTCCATTTGTCTTGTTTATCATTGTATCTTCAGGTTCTAGCACAGAGTCTGTCATAGTAGACACTCCATGACTATCGGTGAGAGGGAAAGGGGGAGGGAAAAATGAATGGATGAACAGCACCTCTGTCCCCCATCACCAAGCTGCCCAGTGGCTGCTCTCTTGTATACAAACTCTTTGAGGTAACTCACCTGCATTTCTGGTGTTCTATGAAAATACTAGAGTCTAGTGAGTTCCTTTTATTCAACTTGTTTAATGTGTACATCTAAATCAGGACAAC